AAAGAGAATATCCTCATAGTGCTCAACTAATTAATAGTTTGAATGTTTATGTAGAATTTTACGTGTCTGATAATGATGTATCTGTATCTTAAGTTGTTTAATGGTCTGGAGCTTCACATTGATTAATGTTACAGCACTCAGGTAACACCCCCCCCCTCCACTCGGGTAACACCCCCCCCTCCACTCGGGGTAACACACACACCCCTCCACTCGGGTAACACCCCCCCCTCCACTCGGGGTAACACCCTCCATTCCTCCATTCGGGTAACACCACCATCACCCCCTCCACTCGGGTATCATCCCCACCCCCTCCACTCGGGTAACACCCTCCATTCCTCCACTCGGGTAACACCACCACCACCCCCTCCACTCGGGTAACACCCTCCTCCCACTCATACTTTATCAATATATTTCATAATGTCTAACTTTCGACCTTTAAGTTGATTATACGTCTTTGAGCAACACATTAGGTAATACTTTGATACAGCTCTCAGGCTAACATGACAAGGAGTAGGGTCATCTGTCCAACCCCGTGAGTTTTCTCCGGGTCCTCCGGTTTCCTCCCACTGCTAAAGACCCCTACGTGCAAGCAAATTATTGAAATAAAATTGAAACCATATGTTAGTCCCGAAATGACCTAGTTTGTGTCGAGTTGATGTTAAACCCCATTTCTCTCTCTTGCGCTAACACAATCCTGCAGCACCAATATATTACTTTATATATTATTGAAGTTACTTAAAGTTCGCTCTAGCTAGTCTTTCTGAAATAATAAGCTTATTGATACAACCTTCGGGCGGTTGTCCTCGTGCAGTTTCAATATATTAGATAATTTGCTGATATTTCAGGCCATGTCATGCCTTAAATGTCTGCTCAAGACCTTTATACCACACTTAATAGTTGTACTTTATTTGGCTAAATATCATTTCATATTGGATGTCTGTGAAATCTGAACTAAAGATAAAATCCAAATCTTAGTAGATACTTCAATTTTGATTAGCTAAGCACTAAAATCAATCTAATATTATCCAATCAAATTACTAAAATTGGATTTTATCTAAGTTAAAATTTCGTTAAACAGGCCCCAGATCAGTAAAGATGCGTTATGTAAGAGATAAATCTGCCTATTGCAGGTTTTTATTTTGGCTTCAAATGTTAAATAAATTATTATTTAGACATTTATTAACATAACAAGCCCATAATCAACTTACTAAAACATCAGATGGCTGAGATTTAAATGGATTTGAACACCTGCGAGATTTAAACATCTTCAAACAGTGATAACTTCGCCCAGAATGAATTATTTCATTAAAATATTTAATATATTCATTTATCATTATCAATATTTAAACTACTATAAGCAAGAACGTCCAGTTCATATCTAAATCTTACATAATGTATCTTTAATATAACTATTATAGCAAGAACAGCCAGCTCTTTAACTAAATCTTACGTAATGTATGTTTAATGCAACTATTATAGCAAGAACGACCAGCTCTTTATCTGAATCTTACGTAATGCATCTTTAATATAACTATTATAGCAAGAACATCCAGCTCTGTGTCTAAATCTTACATAATACATCGTTTAATGTAACACAGGGTTTCATATCCTACTCCTCTGAAAATGTTTTATCATATTACTTGTATTAAGTTTGTTTTTGTTTTTTTGGGGTTTTTTTTTTGGCATTCTAAAAGTGCTCGACACTAAACGTCTAGGAGAAACCAATTTCTTGGAAAGACTTAGGAGTAGGACAACAAAATAATTTAAAGAAGTTAAATCCGATTTATTTATTACCAGTTAATATATATTTCATTTCTGTATCTATTGATTACCCTCATAAATTACAAAATATTTATTGGTTACTGTTACAATCTCTGATTGTAGTTTACAGATGTTACAATCTCTGATTGTAGTTTACTTACAGATATGTTAAAGTTGTTTTTTTTATTTGGATATTTGAGTATAGGTGTCCAGTTTTTGTGTTATTATGAATTCTGTTTATATTTTTTTTAATGCAATAAAAACAATATATTTAGGTTCTCAGACAATAATACTTCCTAAAAACTTGAAGCCGGTTGAGGGGGTGGGGGGACGAGAGTTTTTGTGGGTTTTTATTTTTTGTCAAAAGACCGTATGTGGAATAAATGACTTTTAATAAACAATACGAGTATAATTATCCCATCAGGTTGTTGAATGACTGATTATACCACCAGGTTGTTGGATGACTGGTTATCCCATCAGGTTGTTGAATGACTGGTTATCCCATCAGGTTGTTGAATGACTGGTTATCCCATCAGGTTGTTGAATGACTGGTTATCCCATCAGGTTGTTGAATGACCGGTTATCCCATCAGGTTGTTGAATGACTGGTTATCCCATCAGGTTGTTGAATGCCTGGTTATCCCATCAGGTTGTTGAATGACCGGTTATCCCATCAGGTTGTTGAATGACCGGTTATCCCATCAGGTTGTTGAATGACTGGTTATCCCATCAGGTTGTTGAATGACTTATTATCCCATCAGGTTGTTGAATGACTGATTATCCAGTATCATTTATGATTGTCAGTAACATTTATCAGGGTTGTGTATATTCAATAACCCCGGTTGTACCTGACAAGGAGTAGGGTCGCCTGTCCAACCTCGTGGGTTTTCTCTGTATCCTCTGGTTTCCTCCCACTGCTTAAGACCCCTACGCTCAATCGAATTATTGAAAATGAAATTGAACCATGTGACTCAGTGAGTAGGACCCTGGCTCGCTAACCTGGAGGACCTGAATCGGAGTTATCTAGATTTTCCGGCGTGGTTCCCCCTTGTCAGTGGTGTAGGACGTAGATCTGGCATATCTATTTTATATCTATTTGGATATAACAGCACCAGTAGTTTAGATTCTATTTCTTGCCTAATGACAGACCAAACGAACCTACGCACACGTGTTAAATCAATCGGCTATCAAACCCCGCTCGAGATAAGAGAGAGAGAAATGGGGTTTAACGTCCACTCGACACAACTAGGTAATTTCGGGACTAACATATGGTTTAATTTTATTTCAATAATTCGCTTGCGCATAGGGGTCTTTAGCAGTGGGAGGACCCGGAGAAAGCCCACGAGGTTGAACAGGCGACCCTACTCCTTGTCACGTACAACCGGGGATTCGAAATCACGCCAGTAGACCCAATGACAGACTTTATGATACAGTGCGCGCACGCTAACCATTCAGCCATCCAAACCCCGCTCGAGATAAGATATTACACCTTACTTACTATAGAAGATAAAATAATCCGATGTTATAATCATTAGTTGACAGAAGTTGACAGTTTCTATACAAATCTAATCTATTCAGCACGTCAAAGAGGGCAGCTTATCTGAGAGAATATATAAATGGAGGTACATGCCTTAAATACTATTGTCCACCATATCACCTCGGGCATTATTATAATATACCATTCCAACATAACCAGGGGGGGGGGGGCATTTGCCCTCCCATTAATCTGGTCTGCCCTCTGTTTGCCCCCCCCCCCCCCAATAATTTTAGAAAATAAAAAAAAGTATTTGTGATACGTTTCGGTAATCAATACCTTCTACGGTGAATAAATCCCACATCCCCACTCAGTCATAAACTTGCATGTTGTAGAGCATTTCCGACAGTCTATTTTTCAAAATTTTCTTGGCGAGGTCCCCAAGGGACTCGCTACTTTGGCGCTCACAAGAGGAATTCGTTGAAGTTCGCAAGTCCGTTCGTTTGACATTTTGTTCTTTACAAAAAAGCACCCGATAAGACTTTTAAAAAGTCTTACATGAAACGCCCACGAGAAGCAGCTGTTTTACAAGGTTTTATCCGTTTAAATCAATTAGGTAATGTTGGCATAGATAAAATATTAGACTGACAATATAAGAGAGATAATACCAACTCAAAAGAAGGGTAACATGTAAGGATTCCAGCATCGAGTCTATGTATGGCCTAGGGACTGATATAGGGATTCTAGCCTGTACACGAGTTGGTTTGGGTTTTTTTGACAACCTACCAACCCAATTATTTTAAACAATGATTATTCGTCCATAGATAAAGTTTATTTAACTATAAATGAAATGAAATAAAATGGAGTTTAACGTCCTACTGTTCTGCTCCTAACCTGGGCTAATGAAGACGGGCATACGCCATACAGTGTGCTATGAGGGAAATTTTGCCCGGACAGCGGTACTATGGCCTACTCTTATATCGAATTCCAACTGTCAAGGGATCTTTTACGTGCACGCCAATGTGTACACGGGACCTCGGTTTTTCGTCCCATCCGAACGACTAGACAGCTGTCCTTGTCAGCCCCTCCGTCCTGCATCACTGACAAGGGAGAACCACGCCGGAAAATCTGGATGAACTTTCTCGGCCAATGCAGGGATCGAACACCCGACCCCCAGGCTAGCGAGCTAGCGTCTTACCCACTTAGCCACGTGATCCCCTATTTAACTATAAATTCGTGTGTTGATTTGTTCTCTCAAAATAAAAATGTTCTGTCATAGACCTTTTTCCAATAAATACTCTACGTCAAAACCGGGGGGATGTATTTTTAATTGGGTAGATACGCGTGAATGTGACTTCCTGGCTTATTCCCAGTTGATTTATGATTACTTTCTCTAGAGTCAAGTGGTGCGTGCCATCCAGTAGGGTCGCTTTCTCCACTCCACTCCCACACCCAACACACTGCTAAAGAACCCTTTCTAGCACATGTTAGTCCCGAAATGACCTAGTTTATGTCGAGTGGACATTACCCCCCCCCCCCCCTCTCTCTCTCTCTCTCTCTCTCTCTCTAAAAGTCTAGCCCCTTTAAGGCGAACGTTGGATTTACGATAAAGATTACAACGATTGTATTACTGTTATGTGAATCTTAAAGCCGTGAATTGTGACATCTGGGGTTTTAGATTAACCGTTTAAGGTTATCTCGTCTCCTCCCAGAGTTGTGTTAGCGACCTATTATTAAGCATGTGTGGTAACCGCTTGCGTGTGGTGATCGGATTCTTGTATTCTGCAATAGGAACGGTAACTAGTTGCGTGTAGTAGTCGTATTATTCAATTCGGAACGACAACCGATTGCGTGGAGGTAGAATTCTACAATTCATTGCTAGGAACGGTAACCGGTTGCGTGTGAAGGTCGGATTCTACAATTCATTACTAGGAACGGTAACCAGTTGCGCGTGAAGGTCGGATTCTACAACTCATTATTAGGAACGGTAACCGCTGGCGTGTGGAGGTTGGTTTATTCGATTCTTTACTGGGACCGATAACGCATTGCTGGTGGTTTTCGTATTCTGCAATCTGTTACTGCTAAGGGTGACCGACTTCTTGTGGTGGTAACTTCTACAGTATTTTACGGAGAACGGTAACCAATTGCTTGTTGTGGTCGGATTCTACAGTTCTTTACTGGGAACAGTACTCGGTTGCCTGTGAAGGTCGGATTCCTCAATTCTTTACTAGAAGTAAAACTTGATGACGGATCTCTGTTGTAATAAATAATAGCAATTTTAATTGAACTATACCGGATTATCTTCACATCAATTTGTACCGGGTAAGTTGGTCTTTGTGTGTGTGTGTGTGAAATATTTTTTTTCAACGTCCGCTTCTACCGAAGGAATGTCGCAGACAGGTAATTTCAGTAATCCATCAATTTTATAGTCGGAAGACTAAGTATACGAGTTGAGCTTCAGAAATGGGGTCCTACGTTTTTTCAAACACCCGGGATAGACGGACATACAGTGTGCCAGTGTGCTGATATAGAATTCCAGCTGTCGAGGGTTCTTTTACGTGCACGGGACCTCGGGTTTTCGTCCTATACCAACAACTATACGAGTTGAGCGTCAGAAACTAATGTTGTTAACACAACATTCTTTAAATGAAATGGGGTTTAACGTTCGACTCTTTGTCCATCAAAAAGGATAATGAAGACTGGCATACACTATGTAGTGTGGTATGAGAGAGAATTTTGCCAGGACAGCGGCTTTTGCTCCTACTCGTAATCAAATTCCGACTGTCCAGGTTTCGTTTACGTGATTGCCAACTTCTTTAATATTTTAATATTTACCTGTATTTTTTAAATTTTAACCCGGTCCTGTGCCTTCAGGTAATTCTTGGGGTTATTATTTTAACACATTAATTAATGGGCATGTGGTATTTGTGTTTAGAATACGGATGTGACGTCATCCTTTGATGTTTGCGTATCATTATTTCAAATAATGGTACGGGCAATGTGCCAAGCGTACATTATTTATACTATAGTTAAACTTTTGGACCCGTGTGACGTATTTCATTGCAAAGCACGTGCGAGTGTCTGTATTTGAAGTTGTTTAATGGTCTCGAACTTAAGACATTGCGTAATATATTGAAACATTCAATATATTACTTAATGTCTCGCTCGAGACCATTAAACCACACTTAATGTTTAAATTTAGACCCTTTTATAACAATGCTACAGGTCCCACTACAGCTACATTATAACTTACTTCTCCGGGCAAATCTTTAATTCACGGATGAACAGACATTATCTGACGCAATATAAGAAAATAGTCAATATCTTAAATGCTAAAAACATTTTATTCTTTTTTTATTATTATTATTATTTCGTTAATTTTTTAAATTATGTTTATTTCTTCACTCTTGTTAAGGCAAAGATTTTTTAAAGTTTATTTTTATTTTTTATGTTTATTTTTTTTGTTTTTTGGGGTTTTTTTTATTCATGTTTATTATTTGTTTTTATTTATGTTAATTTATTTATTTAGATATTTATTTTTAATTTTAAAAATATATTTATCTTTATTTTAAAAAAAATATTTATCTTCATTTTTTAAAAAAAAACCACATGTATCTTTTTAAAAAAAAACACATTTATCTTTTTTATAAAAAAAAAAAACACACTTATCTTTATTTTTAAAAATATATTTTTTTTTATTTTTTACAAATTATTTTATTCTTATTTTTTTTAAAAAAAAAAAAACTTTTTATCTTCATTTAAAAAAAAACAACAATATTTATCTTTATTTTAAAAAAAATGTCTTTATCTTTTCAAAATAAAACTTTTGTCTTTATTTTTCTAAAAAAAAAAATATCTTTATTTCTTTCTTTTTTTTTATTTATTTTGTATTAATCTTTATTTGTTTTATTTGTCTTTATTTTTTTCAATTATTTATGTTTATAACTGTTGTATACTTATGTTATAGATATGGCCATGTACAGGCACATCAATCAACGTTCGGGGCTGTTAATAATAGTATTGTTCGGGTGTGGATTAACATTAACAATCGATGGAAAGTTATCAAATGCAACGGAACTTATCTCAGAATTATCACACAACACCAGAACTAAACACAATCATGATCAAGACAGTCTAATAGAGCCTTTAAGGGACGGTGAAGAAATCTCACTAGAAAGCTCGACAGATTCCCAAGATGTGAAAACAGCATCTCTGTTGACATCGGGGAATTTGACCAACACAACGTCGGATGAATCATTGTTAATCGTGGATACAGTAGCATTTGACAAAAGAGGTTCTTCAAATGGCAAACAGACCATAGGCAAATCTACAAATCACAAGAAGAAACCAATCTTGAACATCAACCAGAATTTTCAGATCATAATCAACAGTAACCAAGAGAGACCGTACCCGTTTGCAAATGGACACAACCCGTTCGAACGACCAGAGGATTTAATAGATGAGGAATCTGAATATGAAGATATCGAGATTAATGTTAATGATAATGCTACTCGGGTAGCCGTTACAGATAGACTACTCAGAGGCTTCGGTATATTACCTAATCAAACAGATTGTTTGAGGAAAAGTAAAACGTATGAACAGGTAAGGAGGTGGCTGTTTTACTACACTTATCAAGAGAGAGAGAGAGAGACACACACACACACACACACAGAGAGAAAGAGGGAGAGAGAGAGAGATGGGGTTTAACGTCCACTCGACACATATTTTAGAAATATGAATAATACACGGTCCTAGACAAGTGGCCCCAACCCCTGCCACGTACAGACCAGAGATCATATTCCCTGACTGGCATTACATGTATTATCCAAAGCCAGCACGTAGGACTATAGCTAGTTGTCTAGGTCTAACCAAAACTCAGATGAAACAGAACCTTTCAATAATTTGCCTACACAACTGGATCCGTCACTGATGAAGTTGAAGATTTCAACCTCACAAATTCCCAGGAACTTTTGCTGTCTCTGTCACACCACTTCCGGTTCGAATTTGTCTTTTACAAATGGAATTTGAATTTTAGGATCCAGATGACAGTGTGTTCCATTATAAGAGGTGTGTGTGTGGGGGGGGGGGGGGTATCTTAAAGTGACACTTGTGTGTATTTTATCCCTTATTCCAACAATATTACAATAATATTAAAGTAGCCAAGTCTCTAACTCAATATCATCCAAAGTCTTGACATTGAAAAAACGAATTATTTGTCAATTTAAATCTACGTTGATGTTGTGACCTTACCAGGAAAATATGGGCTTCTGATATCCAATATTTAAGACAAAATAAATATTTTACCATTGGTACATGAATCGTTTACTGTAATGAGTTTCAGCCCCATTTGTCAAATGGTGACGCTATATTCTTATCAGGAGAACTTGCACAATAAATACTATCATTGTAGACTGGAATAACCAGACGCTAGAGATTGCCATTCAATTGAGACTTTTGGCGTATTTCGCTAAACATAAATGATTTGAAATAAGAGTAAAAACAGAAACGAATGAATGTAAATCAGTTTATTTACATTCATTTTACATTATTATATGCGTTGCGACCCATTTGTGTCAATTTCTAGGTCCCAAATATTAGCAAATTATACCCTTTAAACTAGATTCCTTATTAATGTTCTTGGGGTGAAAACAACCTTGGAAGTTTGAATTGAATTGCTGTATGGTCAAAGTTTCCGTCATTGCACACTGTATGACGTATGGGGACGGAAAGGTGAGACTTTAAACTTCATTTCATTTCATTGATTCCACAATCTGAATAAAACACAGATCCTAGTTCAAAATTTCGTTTTACTTGGTTGTTATATAACCGCGTTGATGATGGCCAATGATTGGCCAATGAAACGGCTTGTTACGGCGGGTTTTTGGCGTGAGGTTCACCGAACTGTGGGTAAACCAATAGAAACATCAACGCTGATTGGTTTATCAAATGTCTGATCAAATGCCGCTCGTATGACCTCTGATGCGACCTTCCACGACAAACAGTCATATCTTCATGTACATAGGCCATTGAAAGCATAAAAAAACGAAACGAAATATAGATCTGTGTTTTAATCAGATTGAGTGATTCCATTGTCCATTACTTTTAGATCGTAGATGATGTAGCAACGTTAGAACCAAGCCAGTTTTTCGTTCATCTAATGGCGTCGATTGTGACGGTGTAATCGTGTAGCCGTAATCTAACTACTAAACAGACTGCACATTGGAGGGTTGTATCGAAAACCCTGGATCCGACTGGAGATTGTGAAAACGTCGAACTTGGCAAGAGCACTGAATGCGCCGAAAATCTCCTGAGAAAACTGGTTGACCATTGGGATAACTCGGTCGTACATAACCCCAACTCAAATTCTTTACAAACTTTTATTAATGCCAAAAGGGTAAGTATATTTATTCATCTTTTGTAAAACTGCGAAATAAAATCTGAAAAATGTGACATACCCAAATTGGATTTACGCCCCATAAGGAGTCGTTAGATGTACGTGGCAATGCAGTTTCTACTGAAAGTAACAGGGATAGGTGGAGAATGGGTCTGTGGGTACGGTAGGCCCGGTGGCCCTTAAAGATGGAGAAGGGGGCTTATAGTCCTGAAGTTGGGGGGGGGGGGTTATAGTAGTGAAAGTGGTGGGGGGGGGCTTTTAGTCCTGAAGTTAGCCCAAGAAACATCTCGATAATCTCTAGAAAACACCTTTTAATATTAGTTTTTCAAACAATTCGTGCGAACAGGAGCGGGAAGGACCATGGGAGATCTGCCTTGAAGCTTTCCTGAAAATGAATTTCTTATAAGTTATTGTGTCACATTATTACACGATTATATTTTATGCTACAAAAGGCAATGTCAGATTACAATATTGTAGTCCTCTCGTCTACAGTTAGTGTGGAAACTCTAGAGAGATAAGTTTTGTTATGAAAGCGGTAAATTGGTACCCACGACCCCACGGGACAACCCTAGTAATAGACTACAATACAGTGTTTCTTTTGTCGATTGATATATTTTCTTTACAGTATACAGGACATACTAAACTTAGGCTGTCTGTCTACAGTTAGCTCTGCTCGAGAACAGACACTAAGCTAGTTGACTGACATTTTAAGTCCTCAATCGACGATTTTAGTCGAAAACACTAAGCATACTTCGAGAATATTGAGAAGTTTTTTATTCTTGTTTCATTTAATGGAATAGAATAGGTTTATTTAGTCTTTGTGTGTGTGCCAGGTGTGAAACGGAATAGAAACGCAGTAGAAAACAATATACTAATTTTTGGATATGGCGGCCATTCAGGACAGAGATTTATTCCCAAAGTATGAAGCAGATGACGCTCATTGTGCAGAATGTATACAGGGGCGTGCTCTGGAATTTGAGCAGGGGAGGGGGCGGTAGGAGGCAGCACCCAGTTTGAAACCCTGAGACAACACGTCTGCTCATTTAGGTGTATATGTATAGGACTATAGTGTACATTTGTTATTACGAGAAACGTAGCAGAAACAAGATATGCTCTGCTTGATCAGCGGGGGGGGGAGGGGAGAGAGTCCGGGCCGTCTGGACATCAAAAACTCTATTTTAGATGTACCTCAAAAAACTAAAATGATAAGCATAATTCATAGTACCATGACACCAAATTTAATACTTTTGGCACTGGACTAGATTATATAAAATTGTATAATTATTAATATATTTTTAATAGTGTATTAACAGTAATAATGTGGCGATGTTGACGAAACATGACAGAAATATCAACCCCTACCCAGAAAGGGTGTTTCTCTACAGAATGGTGAAAGTTCTTATAGAACAACTAAATGAAGGTTAGTGAAATTAAATGAAATTGGGTTTAACGTCCTACTTTTCTGCGCCGACTGGGCTGATGAAAAGACGGGCATACGCCATACAGTGTGTTATGAGGGATATTTTGCCCAGGTAGCGGCGCTACGGCCTACTCTTATATCGAATTCCAACTGCCAAGGGATCTTTAACGTGCACGTATATGTGTACATGGGACCTCGGTATTTCGTCATGTCCGAATGACATACGTTGTCCCTTGCCAGAACCTTCGTCCTGCATCACTGAAATGGGGTAACCACGCCGGAAAATCCAGATGAACTTTCTTGACCAGCGCAGGGATCGAACACTAGGTTAGCGAGCCAACGTCTTACTAAATGATCTACCATGGCCCCGATGAAGGTTAGTAGAAGATGCTAGTAAACTACCCGTCTCCGGGCTCCCATCGGGTCATATTGTGTGAAAGAAATTATTCCGTGTAATAAACTGTTGCGATCAAGAAATTACTGCGCGCCAGACATTAAAACGAAAATGGCGAATGGTTACTTTATATGTAGTTGATTTCAATAAAATGGTGAAATGGCACTATTCCATGGTTACATATGCAATACTAGAAAAGAATTTTGTCCCGGCAGCACTAAGCCTACAACTTCATACTTTATCTTTACTTTGAACTTGGGCTGTTGGAATTCGATATTAGAGTAGAAAGTTAAACCCCATTTCATTTATTTGGCATTTGTGTCATTCAATAATTAGGGAGGGATGGGCGGTCTTGTGGTTTAACACTTGCGCATAGATCATAAGGTCTTTCATCGAGTCAAGTGGTGTGGTTTCGATTCCCAGCTTGTACGTGACAAGGAATAGGGTCGCCTGTCCACTCTCGTGGGTTTTCTCTGAGATCTCCGGTTGCCTTCCACTGCTAAAGATCCCTATGCGCAAGCGAATTATGAACCATATGTTTTGGCCCCGAAATGTCCTAGTTTTTGTCGAGTGGATGTTAACATCCCTCTCTCTCTCTCTCTCTCTCTCTCTCTTTCTCTCTCATTATATAAGACGACATAACACAGATTTTGTTCACACGTTTAAAGTGCGGGTTGTCCTGAAGAAGTATCTGATAAGGGATCCCTCGTGTAATCAAAACCTTATTAAAAGTGATAACAGATTAGCAATTCATCTTGGTGACATGACAATGTCTCTCATAAACTATTTAGAAATATTAAATATGACGGCGGGCCAATCTTATGGAAGCCTATTGCAGCCATTTCATAATCTCGCCGCTAGAAGGTGACACGTCGAGGGCGAGAAACAGGAAGCCGAGAAAGTGAGAAGTCGAAGGAGAGAGGGAGGGGAATGAGAAAGTCGAGGGAGCGAGAAGTGGGGTGTAAGAAAGCGAAGAAACAGGATCTCGCCCCGAGAACACGACAATGTTTACAGGCCTCCATACTATATGAATGTCAAAGATGATAATGCAGTTTATCGTGGTCGGTCAAGATCCGGGTTCTTATTCTCAACACCCTAGTTACATAAATAGATTGCCCCCATTACACCCAAAAATAAACTATAAAGTCACCACATTTCCGAAAACTTACTGACTGACCTTTTTTACATTAATAGTGCCAGGGGCGCAGATCGCCAAAAATTAGTGATGGGGACAGTGCATGCGCGGGCGACTATTGGTAAAGAGGGGGGTTCGGGGTTCCTCCCCCGAAATTTTTTGAAAACTATACGCTCTAAAACGCACTCTGTGGGTATTTTCAGCATCATTTTCAGGCAAACAGTTCTAATCCCTGAGGCAGCAAATGATACGAAATCTAATCTAAAGACAAATCTTCAAGCCACCGTTCACGATTTATTCTCTCATGTACGCTACAAGAACTAGAAATATTTACACTACTGAGATTCCAGCTCCGCCTCCATTCCTAGTAGTGTTCGAAGACTACGTAAAGTCTTTGAGCAAAATGTGTATTCAATTGGATACTCAAATGTACAGGCCTACAAATCTTTTAATTTATATAAACTAAAACAAGCCACACACACAGCTAAACATATCAATATTCAATCCCAATTGAAATAAAGGTAACATTTTACTGTATTATTCATTGATGATTAAAAATCCGATGGCGAAGGCGAATTTTCCCACGTTAAAATTCAAAAATGGCGACCACATTGAAATTATAACTTTTCGCTTTTTTCTTAAAGTTAAATCTAGCTGTTTATATTGTTCCCATAGCTATTTTAATGATTATTATATTATCTATTTTGAATGTGACACTGGTGATGTTATGTTAGAAATTACGTGTTTGGAATTTTATAATTTGCGTGATTTATCATCCAGTATACCAGATAAAAACAAAATCTCAGTTATTTAATACCCAGCCTATCAGATATGTACACCTACATGATATACATATTATTATAATCCCTATGGAATATTTTAATTATTTACTGTTATAATATGAATTATCACATATTCCCTGTTAAATAAAAATCGGTCACCGGGTGCAGCTGTACAATTTCAAGGACCCTGGTCTCATGTGCCTGGGACCAACTCTACACTTTCTGAAATGTCAATAAAAGCTCTGGAATGATTTCAATTTCAAAAAATAAACAGTAAGCAAAACATCGGAAATAAGTGGTGGGGACACAGTATATCATGTTCCCACCACTAAAAATATTGGTGGGTACGCGCCCATGAATAGTGCATTGCACGTCTGTATTGTACGTGACCGCCAATGACAAGTCTAATCAACTCTCTGGAGTAAGTGATTGTATATCCATCCAAGCGATGACGCTCCAAATGTATCTAAAATTGTATGTACAAGTGATGGTGCATCAGCTATGTCTTAAATTGTATGTCCAAGTGATTGCGTATCTCAGCGATTGTATATCAAATATTGAGCATACGGATAATTTAAGGAAGCGAAGCCTAAGATACTTTTCTACCAGGAGCGGGAAACCTAAATAATATCAAATTGTATATCTTAGCAGATATATCGAAAACCTAAAACATATTTTACCAAGAATCAAAAACCTGAAATTTAATATTTTTTTTACCAAGGGGCGAAAACTTAAAATATTTCAAAGTCTGCTTATAGCCGTTGCTCAATTACTAATCGAAATAACCTTCAGTCAATCCAATTTAAAAATTCGGCCTTTGACTCTAATAGTACAAGCAGGAGAATCGTAGGCGAAAAAAAACCCAGACACTATACAGACATTGCAAGAAATAAACAATAAATATCAAATCAAGTGAATGGATTTGGGGGCCAGTCGTAAGCGTCCACTGCGCTGTACAGTCCCGGTCATTCATAATACAGGCGTCACTCAAAATGAAATATAAAAATGTCTGATTTACAAGAAAGATGTAATGCGACTGGTCTTGACCTTGATCGTCTCCTGAATGGCGGTAGTCTACCAGATGAAGTCATGAGTTACAACGTCAATAAATTCAACAATAATGAATGTGATAAGATGTTCAATTTTTTTTTAACAATTTGGGTATCCATATGAGAAATAGGTCGCGGGTTTGATCCCGGTGTTTTCATATATGTATATTATGTCAACAGGTTACAGTATATCGTTGGATGGTGAACCGTGTGAATTGATGTTTGTAGAAGAAATATTTCACAAGTATGGGGAACAGACAGTTCATTTGGAAGACATGTTTATCACGGAACAAAGTAGATATTATGTATTTCATTAATTGTTAAATAGCCTTAATTATGTATTTCATTAATTGTTAAATAGCTTTAATTATAGTCGTGAACAGTCGTGAACTGTCTACTTATACCAACAGATAAACATCTCTCAAGGTAGTTACCTCGGTTTCCTAAGACCGGGATAGTCAGCTATACGTCAAAGAGCTACCGTCGTGGTCGGTCTAAAGACGTTGTACTCGCATTACTTACTTCCATTCAGGCCTGGCCTTTTAGTGGGGTCTTGATGGAGGGGAGGGGTGTCCAAGGTTCCTCCCCCAGGACAATTTTGAAATTTGGGCAGCCACGAACGCGTTTACCATCCCAGAAGATCGTTCTCTAGCGAACTTTAGTTCTAGGCGGTTAGCCATGTTACGGTTACTTTTTGCATCGAAATCAAATTAGCATTTAGCATGTTTTGAAATTGCCATGCCACTGCTGATTGTAAACTGTGCTTCCATTGTCTGAAAGTGGCTAATAAAGAGAGATCCTGTTCTTGGGGATATGGTTTTGTACTGGTCTGCTTATGTTTTCTAGAATTGGAAAGTCTTATCGGTGATATGATTAGTGTTGTAGGAGCCAAGTCTCGAGTTGATCCACAGAAAAATTTCCTCTTGGGTAGAAAATCTCGGAGTGTACCGACAGCAAACCCGATGGTAAGTTGTCTTCCTTGGCGACTGTCGGTAAGTTATCTCCCTTGTCGACTGTCGGTAAGTTATCGCCCCTGCCAGTAGTGAATAACTGAGTAAGACACGGGCTCGCTAACCAGGAGATCTGTCGTTCCCTCCCGGTGTTGGCCGAGAAAGGTCCTCGGGGTTTTTCCAGGCATGGTGACCCGTTGTCGACGGTGCATGACGGGCGGTCTTGTCGTTGGGATGGGAAGAAAACCGAGCTTTAGTGTACACATTGGTGGGCACGTAAAGATCTCTTGATAGTTGGAATTCGGTGTAAGAGTAGGCCATAATCCCCCAGTGTACGTAAAAGGACCCTTGAGAATTAAATCTCAATGAAAAGTAGGCGAAAACGCCCACTCTCCGCCAAAACTTTTCTTCATAGCACATTGCATGATGTTTGGTTTTATTTAATTTTTTTGGGCGAATTTGTCTGTTAAGTATTATGTTTCCTACTTTTTATGGTCGTCTGTAGGAGAATTTTGGACCAGAATCTGTTCGCAATCGCTACTCGTCTTGTTATTGTGGTTCTTGGGAGCGACGCTCTTCGAGAAACGCCTAAGGATGTGCATCTTCAATAGAAGGCTTGATCACGCTTTAACTTCGTACATCTTATCAAGGCCTTCATGTAATACCCTGCATATTTCGGCACTAATTTCGATTTGGTACAAGTCCAGCTTGGGAGCCTATCGGATTTCACGATCATCGCGAATACCAAGTCTCGCGCTTTCAAGCTAAACTGTTTACCTGTGATAATCGAGTTGCAAAGGTCAAGGTTCGTTCAATGTCAAGGTTTCCGTGGAGGTTGCTATGTCACAACCTCGATTGGACGCTACTGTTCGGGTGTCTATAGATAACGTAGCTATAAGTACGAGAATTGTGAAGTTATCTAGCAACGTCCAGATGTTGTAAAACTCACAGTCGCTGCTTCAGGAACATGAAGAATGTGCTAATTGATTTACGAGCGACACGAAATTTGGCATGCTTGTTTTTTTGGACACTTGCGCATCGATTTAAAGACTTAGGTTTTTGATAAGATATCAGTATTCTGTCCAAGATGCCGCCGATGACGCCATGGTCAGTTCCTGGACCATGCCATAGTACGATGGAACTTGTTATTATCTAAGACAATAAACCTGCTTTTAATTATTGACAGAGTTATAATGTGTCGGAATTATTCAAGATATTCAAGATGAAAGATCGAGTAAATGTGGAGCAGTTTTATCAGATGTGTCCGTCAATAGTCGACGAGGTGCTGACCATCCATTCCAAGACGCGTTCTGGCACAAAATCCGAAGAGATCAAATGTAATTCTACAACTACTCTGTCTAACACAGAAAGTAGGTATTCTTGTAATGATTTCAGGGGTACAGTCTTTAAAGGATATGATTTACTTCGATCATTTTGAGACTAAAATATGATACTTGTCATTTCATGACAATTTTGCCTGGACAGCGGCGTTCCCGACTATTATTCCAAGTGTTATTGTACGTGCACGCTAACAATCTGTACAAAAGTAGTATCGATCATCAATGAAGCATCAAGAATATTCCAGCAATAGACATCAGTATATTTTTAGCATCGATCATCAATATCAACCCATCTTTGAGCATAAAAATCATTCAGCATCGATCATCAATATCAACCAAGCTTTGATCATCATTATTATCCATACTAACATTGATTAAATGTACAAGTTTGTATTATCAGATGTTTGGCAATCCCTTATTATCTCCACAATATTTTACTTTAAAGATAGCCTACATTATGGGAGATTCGGTAACGAGTTGGCAGTTCTCACTATTAAATAGTTAAAAACTAGATAATGTAAAGGCAATTTGGTGAAAATTTCATTCAAATTGATCCACTATGAACCGAGAACTATGCAACTGAAATTCCCATAAGCCTCGGTCATCATTACTAAAGTCAGTACGATGAACAGCATAGTCTCGATTATCCATTTAATCGTTTAATCGAGAAGGAAAGTTATGCAGTAAATCGGCTTACAATCCACTAAAGATCGCAGGCTAGTGATGCCCTCTAGAGTTGATTATGGCCTGGATATGTTAATTGATGTCTAATTAATAATTTAGATAACATTTCAGGCCTAAAGAAAGACCTGAAATAGGCAGATTTAGCTCTTAAATAATGTTTGTTTAAATAATTCTAGTCAAAACGTCCTTCAGTTATAAACATGATGTGACTTTATATTTTTATAATTGGTGTTTTTAGTCTATGGTTACGGTGCCTTGGTTGTATCCATCATCAGTATCATGTATGATATTAGTTAAGAAGATTATATTATAATACTTTTTGTGTTTAGTCTATGGTTACGGTGCCTTGGCTGTATCCAACATGTTGATTAAGAAGATTTGATTGTTATTATTTCTGTGTTTAGTCTATGGTTACGGTACACTGGCTGTTTCTATCATCAGTATCATGTCAGTATTAGGAGCGGTTGTAATGAAAGCCGCAACCGGAGCTGTAAGACAGTACGTTATGGCGGCATTGTTGGCGCTAGCTACAGGTAATTTATGTGGCGATGCCTTACTACATTTACTTCCCGAGGTGAGTTGATTAATCGATTTTTACCTGTAAATAAATTATAGATTTATTTGATAAACCAGATTGTGTATTATGGAGAGTGATTGGCGGTCGGTGATGTGAAACGCTTTCGGATTGAACGTCCCACTACTTTTCTGCACCAACCCGGATAATGAATACTTGACTTGCATACGTTGAGCGCAGGAGGGAAATTTGGCCCTGACAGCGGCGCTACACCCCATTCAATAATTGTTCCATGTATTAAGATCACGTTTCTCTCGCTCTCGGGGGAGCGGGGATGGTCGAATGGTTAAGACGTGCGCACTGTATCATACGGTCTGTCATTGAGTCAACTGGCGTGGTTTCGATTCCCCGGTTGTACGTGACAAGGCGAAGGGTCGCCTGTCCAACCTCGTCGGTTTTCTCCGGGTCCTCCGGCTTCCTCCTACTGCTAAAGACCCATACGCGCAAGCGAATTATTGAAATAAAATTGAACCATTTGTTAGTCCAGAAATTTGTCTGCGATATCACCTCGGTGGAAGCGGACGTAAAATACAACTAACTAACTAACTAACTAAAATAGTCCGGAAATGACCTAGTTTGTGTCCAGTGGACGTTAAGCCCCCCCTCTCTCTCTCTCTCTCTCTCTCCCTCTCTCTCTCTCTCCCTCTCTCTCTCCCTCCCTCTCCCTCTCTCTCTCTCTCTCTCTCTCACTCTCTCAGGTATTAAACCAGGTATTAATATTATAGGTAAATATATCAGGTGTTAATATTATATATAATTATTTCAGGTGTTAAGTGATGAAGGTGAGGATGATGATGGTGATGGATTAACAACCAGTGAGATAATTCTAACGGGATCGACGGATATCTCTATAGCTAGTAGTAGAATGTGTGCTGTACTCGCTAGTATCTACGCTTTCTTTATATTAGAGTTAATCATGAGTCTTTATCATACACACGATCATGATCATACACCAGACAGGGTAAGATTATACTACTTATAGAACATCTGGTGACACTTCTTTATACTCGAGTTAATTGCAAGCCTTTATCAAACACACGACCATGATCATACACAGGGAACGGTAATATTATACTGTTTATAGAACATCTGGTGACACTTCTTTATACTCGAGTTAATTATAAGTCTTTATCACACACACGACAGCCATACACCACCCACGACAATATTATATTGTAGAGTACCTATTTACAAATGTTTGTAAGTTTTGAACGATCAATTTACTTTAAAGTAATAAAATATGTTTAAATGAAGAGTGTCTATTCGTTTGGATTGTACGAAATATCCAAGATCCCGTGCACACATTGGCATGCACTTAAGAAAAACTCGGCAGCTTTAATTTAACGCCGAGTAGATAGAAACACCACTGTCCAGGCACAATTCCCCTCATTTGTCGAGATGCCAACTGATTTATTGTATTGATGTATTGTTTATTTATAGTCAGGTGATGATTTAAGTAATATAAATGTTTCTGTGTTAAAAGTTATTACAGATGAACAATATGATTCTAATAATACAGTAAGTTGATTTAATTAAGTTCTGGTAATACTATAGGTTAATAATACACTAAGTTGATTTAACGAAGTTCTAGTTTACTACAGGCTAGAAAATCCGGTGTATAAATACTTCAAGTGTAACTTGTGTATAGTTACTGCATACTGTTTTGTGACTTGTGTATAGTTACTTGTATTGTGTTCTGTGTATAGTTACTGTATTGTAACCCGTGTATAGGTACTTGTATTGTGCCATGTGTATAGTTACTATTAATGTACCCAGTGTATAGGTACTGCATACTATATTGTATCCCGTGTATAGTTACTTGTATTGTGACCCGTGTATAGTTACTTATATTGTGTACTGTGTATAGTTACTGTAATGTGACCTGTGTATAGTTACGTGTATTGTGACCGGTGTATAGTTACATGTATTGTGCCCGGTGTATAGTTACATGTATTGTGACCTGTGTATCGTTACTTGTAATGTTTCCTGTGTATAGTTACTTGTAGCGTGTCCTGTGTATAGTTACTTGTATTGTGTCCTGTGTATAGTTACTTATATTGTATCCCATGCATTGTTACTTGTATTGTGTCCCGTGCATAGTTACTTGTATTGTGTCCTGTGTATAGTTACTTGTATTGTGTCCTGTGTATAGTTACTTGTAGTGTGTCCTGTGAATAGTTACTTATATTGTATCCCATGCATTGTTACTTGTATTGTGTCCCGTGCATAGTTACTTGTATTGTGTCCCGTGCATAGTTACTTGTATTGTGTCCTGTGTATAGTTACATGTATTGTACCCGGTGTATAGTTACATGTATTGTGACCTGTGTATCGTTACTTGTAGCGTGTCCTGTGAATAGTTACTTGTATTGTGTCCTGTGTATAGTTACTTGTAGCGTGTCCTGTGAATAGTTACTTGTATTGTGTCCTGTGTATAGTTACTTGTAGCGTGTCCTGTGAATAGTTACTTGTAGTGTGTCCTGTGAATAGTTACTTGTAGCGTGTCCTGTGAATAGTTACTTGTATTGTGTCCTGTGTATAGTTACTTGTAGCGTGTCCTGTGTATATAATATAATTACTTGTGTTGTTTTATGTGCATTGCGTCATATGTACAGATACGTGTATTATGCCATGAGAATAGATTAGCGATATTTGAATAAAAGCATGTGTTATATATTTTGTTTTTTAGGCATCGTGTTCAACGAGTCAAGATGGCGGTGAACATGTGTGTAAAGAAGAACGAGATAATATTGTCAACAGACATCGAGGTAAGTTTGTACTTGTTAGTTTGTGGTTGAATGGTTAACGCGTGCGCGTTTCATCATAAGGTCTGTCAATGAGTCAAGTGGCGTGGTTTAGATTCCCCGCTTGTACCGTGGGTTTTCTCCGGGTCCTCCGGTTTCCTCCCACTGCTAAAAAGACCCCTACGCTCAAGCGATATATTGAAATAAAATTGAACCATGTCTTAGTCCCGAAATGACCTAGTCTGTGTCGAATGGACTTTAAATCCCAATTCTCTTGCTACATGCCACGGGAGCCACGTCGTGTATAATAAACCAGTGATTGTTATCCTTTGTGTTGGTTTTAAACTTTTTAAGGTATTTAGTAACTGGAGAGAGCAATAAACTAAAACACATACTTCTAATATATTTAGTAACTGGATAGAGTAATACACTTTATCACCCAATAATACATTCTACAGTAGATATCGTTTGTGTGATATATTTCATAATCTACTGCAATATCTCCTTACATGAATTGGATTGGTCAGTTGAAAAGTAACTACTTTTTTTATTAAAAATAAACTATTGTTATTCAGTTGACCTTGATGGAAAAATATAAAGGACTTTGCAATGGTTGAATTGCTGTCAAAAAATGATGTATCACTACGCCGTAATGTTCAGTAAAAGTGAAATCTACAGCAAAGAATTATATTTATCTATTTGTGCACGTAAGAAGGGATTGGATGATAAATAGAATCTCCTACTCGTCTTTTTTTATATCAAAAAATATCAACACTCGTTGATAAAGTTAAAAAAAACCTCGGCAGACCCTCGTTTTTTGTTACTTTATCAACTTGTGTTGATATATTTTGATATCAAAAAAGACTGGTAGGAGATTCTCTATATAACACATACTTACTGAAAAGCGACAAGACTGGTTATTTATTTGGCCGACGTTTCGAAAGTATTTTCTCAACGTTATCAAGCTAGATTAGTAGCTGTTTTTTTATAAGTACAGTACATGTTTTAGTTTATTGCTAACAGCCACTAAATGATTATGTAATATTATTTCAGCACCAGCCTCTTTAGCATGGATGGTTATAGTTGGAGATGCTATACATAATTTTGCTGATGGTTTAGCTATAGGTGCAGCATTTACAGGCCAGTTGTCTAGCGGTTTATCCACGTCTATCGCTGTTATATGTCACGAATTACCACATGAACTAGGTTAGTAATATAAACTCATGCACGAAATATCAGACATGATTTGATGCATCCAGGGGCGTCTTCTTTGAGAAACCAGCACCAGATCTAGGGGGGGGGGCCAAAGTGGGACAAATGTCCCGGGCCCCACATTTAGGCCCCCTCCCAATTCTGGATCATACTAATATTTTATCCCGGACGGAGCCAACCAGTACCTGGGCTGAGGGGGCGAGGGTTGGGGCCCTGGGCAGTAAGGGATATTGGGGCCCCGGGACTGGTAGGTACCAACAGATTTTCGGGGGCCCAGGAAATCGCTGCCTAAATTGTCTCAGATGCACTAAAATTAATCCTAATTTCAACCAAAAAAATCCTGGAGGTAAACACCCCAGGCACTCAAGGGGGCGGAGTACATACTAGTGCGATCCGCGGTCAGTACGAACAATTTGAACAAACAACAATGGGGCCCCCCGCACAGTTGGTATGTCCCGGGCCCCCCGCACAGTTAGTATGTCCCGAGCCCCCCGCACAGTTGGTATGTCCCGGGCCCCCCACAAGGTTAATCCGGCACTGCGAGAAAATTTTGATTTTCTGCATTCTGCCATATCTGCTGGATGATCAAAAAGCTGTCTTCATGGCCAGCATCCACCAGAGACCGTAAAACGAATGAAGGACAGATGCTGTAAATAAAAGTAACTTGTTTATGAATAGTCCCCAAACTCTTGACCCACCGATTTTTGGTGATCTGGGTAGACTCGTGGGCCAATTTGATGGACTGATGGACCGAGTGACCCACCAATTAAAATGTTAGAAAATAGCCTGGTGTTGTTTTATAATTCAGGTAATTTTGTTGTCTTGTGTTTTACAATACAGGTGATTTTGCGTTGTTTTATAATACAGGTGATTTTGCTGTGTTGTTATAATTCAGGTGATTTTGCTGTGTTAGTATCAACGGGAATGAGTATAAAGAAAGCTCTAATATTAAACTTCGTCTCAAGTCTGACGGCGTTTGCTGGGTTATATGTTGGTATAGCTGCTGGTAAACTAGAAGCTGCTACAGAATGGATCTTTCTGGTCGGTGCTGGGATGTTTCTCTATGTAGCTCTAGCTAACTTAGTAAGTATTCATGCGATCGGTTCTCTTTCTTTCATAGGTGACCGAGTGGTCTAAGGCGTGAGCATAGGTGGGGAAAGTAGACACCGAGACAGGGACAATCTTATACATTAAAGCTCTCTTCCATAAAGGGGGGGGGGGGGGGCGCAACAATTATCTCGATTTATATGGATTTGTCTTCTTTGTTGAATATGTTATGTCTTTACGCCAGTGTTGAGATTAAAACTGTTTTGTGTTCCACTGTCAACACAGCCGAACCTCAGTTTTATTTTTTGAAATTGAACTTGAGCTAGGTAAAATGAAATGGAATGGGGACTATACTCATCTGCACAAACAAGGCTCATGAAGGCGGAATAAGCTCTGGACCTCACTAATCGACATAGCATCAGTATGCCTGTCTTCATTTCCCGGTTGCTGCAGAAATGTATAGGAGGTTAATCCCTATTTCTTTTAATTAATTTCATTTATAATTAATGGACGATGATGTTTTCTTAAACACAAATTGCAATTTTTTTTTCAGTTACCAGAACTTCAGAAATATTTTCAAGAACATCGCACTTGGCAGATGTTTTTAGCGCAGAATATCGGAATATTGAGCGGTTATGCGGCTATGTTAACTATAGCCATATTTGAAGACGATATGGGCTTCTGAATAGTTGGTGCCGTAGTCACAGGCAACAACGTTTCTTTGGTTTTAATATAAATATTTAAAGTCCCATTGCGTCATTAGCATTTTTCGCTAAGATATAAAACTTTCTAACGGCATAAATAAATAACGCTAATATGTACATGAGACACAGGCAACAACGTTTTTTTGTGTTTTTGTTTTAATATAAATATTTTAAGTCCTATTGCGTCATTAACATTTTTCACACGGCATAACCCACGCTAATATGTACTCAGATTGATTATTTAACAATTTGATTAAGAAAATAAAGATCAAAATATCAACTCGAGATAATCTATCGTGTTGGAGTCAATAGGATTTTAACTAGGCTGTTGTGTCACATTGCGACAATTATACCACAATATTTATATATATACACCAAGCTTTAAATCAGTTTCGCACATTTATAGCGAGTGGCATTGATCGATAGAATTTTAATTCATCATATCTCTGTAAATACTGAACGGAATTGAACCGTATTTTTGGACTGATTATCCTATTAGAGATTCAACTTTCACAACATTGTAAGGATTCAGATTGAGCGCTAAAATATTGATTTGTTTATTCAACTGAATTGTAGTTAATTTGAACTCTCCAAAGACGATGTCTGTTGAATTCACGTCAGTGTTTCAGCCGTTATTAAGTGTGGTTTAAAGGTCAAGAGCGAGAACATTAAACAACTACAGACAATGAAATACGTCACGCGAGTCCACTGTTTCATCTAGTATAAATAATGTATGATTGACATGTTGGTCGTGCATTATTTCAAATAATGGTACGTTACCATCAATGGATAGCGTCAGTTTAGTTTAAAGGAGTTAATTCGCTATTCCTTGGCACCTAGAAATGGGTCACATAATAATGTAATATGAATAAAAATAAACTGATTTACATTCAATTGTTTCTGTTTTTACTTTAATTTCTAATCAGTTATGTTCGTCGTTCAAATTGAATGACAGTCCTTGGCGTCTGGTTATTCCAGTCTACACTGGTAGTATTGCCCTGTGGGATATATTTAGACTCGTTTATTGGGTCGCTGCATTATAAATGGCGCGCGAAAGCATTCTGGCACGTGATTCGCGTGCCAATTTTTATTTTGTCTTAAATATTGAATATCAGAAGCCCATGCTTTTCCCGGTAAGATCATAACATCAATGTTGATTTAATTTGACAAATAATCCGTGTTTTCAATGTCAAAGACTTTTGACTTAGCTACTTTAATACATAATATACCTCTTTATTTCAATAATAGTCTTGGTATTTAACAGTGGGCAGAAACCAGCGGGCCCAGGGAAAATCCACGAGGTTGGGCAGGTGACCCTAACTCCTTGTCAAGTACAATTTTAGGAATGCCAATGATGCAAGAGCACAACATAATTAGATGAATCTTCTAGAAAATATTGATTACTGAGTCACTGCCATAGTCACCGAACTACGGTGGCTCAACACCCACCTTGAACTGTTGTTAAATTTATCATTCTTGGGGGGGGGGGGGTGGCCGAATGGTTAGCACGTGCGCGCTGTATCATAAAGCCTGTCATTGAGTCAACTGGCGTGGTTTCGAATCCCCGGTTGTACGTGACAAGGAGTAGGGTCGCCTGTCCAATCTCGTGGGTTTTCTCCGGGTCCTCCGGTTTCCTCCCACTGCTAAAGAAACCTACGCGCAAGAGAATTATGTAAATAAAATTGAACCGTGTGTGTGTGTTAGTCCCGAAATGACCTAGTTTGTGTCGAGTGGACGTTAAACCCCATTTCTCTCTCTCTCTCATTCTGGGGAGTTTGACATTTTTGCTACAACATAATCAAATGGTGCTTAAATAATGCAAGTAATTATGTCAACATTTCCTTTCCATAATTATAACAGGAACACGAATGTCAATATTACCTGAAACAGGTAAATTAAAACATTATAGTAATTTCCGCCGTTTCAGCATATTCCCTTTACATTATCTAGTTTTTAACTATAATGGTGAGAACGACTAGTTCTTTATCTGATCTTCCACCATAATGTATCTTTAAGAAACTGGGGTAGTCAATATTTCTATGTACCGAGTGTTAAAGGGTTAAACATTATAATAATTAAACGCCGTGAGATATACTCTGTAGTTGACTATTCAGTTTTAAAGGGAGATAATTTTTACAATAAAGTAATTGACTTTCATTAGATAAGAGATCTAATTTTTGGGGTGAGGGCACGGAACTGTAATTAAACCACTAGAAACGTCAACGCTGATTGTTGAATCAATTAAATGTCTGATGTCATAGGGTCAAAAGCCGCTCGTATGACCTCTGACGCGACCATTCGCTACAACCTATCAGATCTTCATGTAGTGTAGACCATCGAAAGTATAAAAAAAACGAAACGAAATATACATCTGTATTTTAATCAGAGTGATGTTCAGATTAATTTCTATCTATTTTATCTATTTTGACAGTTGTTTGTAGTGTGAACATAACCTCGTCGTCAAGGTAACCATTATCAGGATTAATGAGTGTATCCCAGTCTATAAAGCTATGAAAACCCCATGTTTGTCCACCGGGTATATATGATGTTCCTGTACCTCTATTCACTATATGCCTACTACCACTGTTGATATTTAACAGTTCAGATGTAACATCAGCTGTAACGCCTTTAACTGTTTTATCCTCTACCTTATTCAACCACATGTAAACACCCAATGTTTGTGTATCTGTACGATGTTTAACACCTACACACCATGGCATTCCTTGTATCATTAAATCATCACCATAGTAATTCCAGTCTGTCTTCACTATCTGGTTTACATTAAAACTACTGGTAAAAGTTGGACCATCCATGATTCTCATTTCATTCATTTGTTGTTTTAATGATTCTACGTCAATCTTCACCATGTCATAAAATGGATGTCGTATCACAGGGGTTTGTAAATATGACGATATATCTTGATTTTTGTTTGTCTGCACATCGGCCAGTTTGTCCAGACACGTAATTAAAGATCTTTGTTGTAACTTAAGATCAGAATAATCCGAACATTCTTCCATATTAGATGTCATCTTGCCAGCTTCCTGTATCGCATTGGTTAATTTTATAATCTCGTCATTTTTCACTTTAATAATATCATCTTTAATTCCACTTCCTAACGCGGTTACTTTATCACAAATGTTTTTAACATTCTTGTCAACATTATCACACGCGGCCTGACAAGATTTGTTTAGGTCAGATATTTTAGACTTTAAAAAGTCAGAATGTTCTTGTAGTTGTTTTATCTTTTTGTCAGACTCTGTTTTAAGTTTTAGGAATTGTTCTTTCCAGTTTTCTTCAGCTTCGTGTAAATCAGATAGTTTATGATTTTTGTGAAGTCCCTGACGACAAATGTAACAACATGTCCGGTTACAATCCATACAGTAGACGTCTATTTCTTCATTCTTGTGTTTTCTACAATATTGTTTTTCCTCTTCAAGAGGTAAAGTTTGTCTAGTAGTTTCTGCTTGAGTTTCACCTGCTTTATCGTCTGTCTGTAAATATAACAATTTATTGTATTTAATTAAATTGATTTTTATTAATTAATAACGACATTTTTAATTCGTCTAATTAGTAAAGTAATATGTACCTGATCAGACATAATAATTGTGTAGCAATAATAGTTTCAGTAAGCTGATAGTGAAAGAACTTAGATCAGTCAGGGGGTATTTGGTTGTTGACTAGCTAACCGGATTTGGACAGTTTGCTTGACACGGCTTATACTGGACGTGGGCGTGACCTGCCTGTGGTTTTGTTCCCCCTAAACGATCGCCATGTTTCTTCTCTAAATTGAAAACAAGTATGGTGGTCGTTTAGGGCGTTACCTTTTTTTATTTAATTATTTCTGTAGTTTTGTAATCGGAGTTCAGCTTTAATCAGATTGCTTCTCTCATATTCTAACATGGTTGACTTACCTTTAAAGTCTGGACTACATCATGGTAGCCATTTTCTTCCAGACTCTTAATAAACAAGTTATACGAATCCCCAGCACACCATCGTAATTTTCTTATTAGAATTTCAGCCCCGGCTTTTCTACCTTTATTTTCTTCTTTAAGAGTAATTTCCTCCAGTTCGTCGTGATTAATGACGCCATATTGGAAGAGATGTCCTGTGATTGTTTTAGGTAATAAATTCTCTACTAAATATAAATAATTCCTCCGTATTCTCTCGTAGTCACATTCCGGCATTCTGTTCTGGGCCATTGTGAATTATCTTGATTTTTAAATTTCGAACTTGAAGTATTAGTAGTCTTTAACGGTAAATCTGAAAAGAAAAATGAAAACATCAATGAAACATGGTGCTTTTTTATAATGTAAGAATTTAGCGATACGCTCCTGTCGGTAAATATTACTGACTTTTCTTATAAAAAAAAGAGTGGGTTGGATGGCTGAATGGTTCGCGCGTGCGCGTTGTATCATAAGGTCTGTCATTGAGTTAACTGGCGTGGTTTCGATTCCCCGGTTGTACGACACAAGGAGTTGGGTCGCCTGTCCAACCTCGTGGTTTTTCTCCGGGTTGTGCGGTATCCAGATACAAAATTTGGAATAAACTTGCATGGTCCACGTTAGGTATATGTTATGTAACCGGATATTCATATTAGATTTTGTTTTGCAAAAAACGTGGCCTCCAGCTCGAAGCCGGCCTCTTTGATTTGGGGGCTCTGTGAGTTTGTGATGTTTATTATTTGAACAGAATAAATATGTGTCACAAATTGGCACTTTCGTACCTCTACCAGTTCTCGTGGTCGTAGGCACTTGAAATTTTCAGAGGATGTTAAGAGGGACTAGCAATGACCACATACCAAACTTCAGCCGAATCGACCAATGACTTTTTATTTTACCGACCTTTTACTTTCTAACGAGAGAGAACTTCATCCGTTTGAGGCCATTTGCTTTGTTTACTATTTAGACTCGAATAACAAGACACTAAGACAGAAACCGACTCGAATAACAAGACACTAAGACGGAAACCGACACACTACACTAGCTGCCTAACACTGCAGTTCATAAAAATTAATATAATTTTCGTATACTTTAATTTTTGCGCGAAGCCACCATTTTCTATAAAATACTACTGACGGTGACAATTACGCTTCCTACTTGGATTTGCGTCTCGATTTTGACAATTGCCATAGACTTAGTGTTAAATTGTACGATAAACGTGATGACTTTGACTTTCCGATTGTTAACTTTCCATTTATTAGTAGTAACATTCCAATATCACCAGCTTATGGAGTGTTTGTGTCTCAACTAATTCGTTACGCGAGAGCTTGTTCATTTTATTCTGATTTTTTAAGTAGATCGAGGCATTTGTCATCTAAGCTTCAACTACAGGGATACTTGCGAACTAAACTTATTAAAACCTTTAAAAAGTTTTATGGCCGTCATATTGACTTGATTGGTAAATATAACATGTCTCTCTCGGCTATTATTCTAGATATATTTAATTGACGCGTATACTGTCTCCCTGATAATGTCTGTCTCCTACATCGTTAACACTGTTTATCACGTGCATTTTGCATACCGATAGTTCATTGGCCAATCACGCTATTTTACCGAGATTTCGCCTAATAGTTTGGATGCAGCTATGGCGGCTGTGGCGCCAGGCAGGGTAAGCTTACTCTTCCGGACACCTGTTACCACTGTCTGTCGTGTATTTTGTACACGGTAAACAGTCCATATGCTGATTACACTAGTTTGCCTTATTACACTATTTTGCCTATACCGTTTTTTTAGGACTTCGAATTTTGTCTAATGGTTTGGATTGTTCGTACTTGGTTTTATTTTATTTGGTGTTGATCAGTGGATTGGCCTTTAGGTGTGAATATTGCCGTGACCTTGATTTTGACCTTGATTCCAAACTTCCCATCCATATCGGGGCCTTTGCGTTTATGCTTGCCGTGGCCTTATTTCTAACTGTATTATCAAAGTTAATGTTCGAGGTGAAAGCAGAGACGATGTCCTCCAGAAAAGATAATTGGGTCAAAGTCGTAGGTCAAGGTCATCTTACAGAAAACTAAACTCAAACTTTTCAAAGTCATTTTTGAGACATTTGACCTTGACCCCGTAACCATTTTCGAAGGCTATCACCTTGGCTTGAACCATCGACGTTTACTTTGGTCCTGTCGCAAACTGTTCGGTCAGAAAAGGGCCAAACGCAGAGGGCCCGTGTCTGAAAGGAAGTCAATGGGCTCGGTCAATGCGAAAGGTCGTGGTGATCTCCACTAGTCAACTTTAACCAACCGTGACCTTGACTATGACCTTGACTCCAAACTTCCCATCCATCTCGGGCCCTTTGCGTTTATGCTTGTCATGGCCTTATTTCTTACTGTATTATCAAAGTTAATGCTTGAGGTGAAAGCAGAGACAGCGTCCCTCAGAAAAGATAATTGGGTCAAAGGCATAGGTCAAGGTCATGTTACAGAAAACTGAACTCAAACTTTTCAAAGTCAGTTTTGAGACATTTGACCTTGACTTACGACCTTGACCCCGTAACCATTTTCAAAGCCCATCATCTTGGCTTGAACCATCGGCGTTTACCCTGGCCCTGTCGCACACTGCTCGGTCAGAAAACGGTCAAACGCAGAGGACCCGTGTCCGAAAGGAAGTCAATGGGCGCGGTCAATGTGAAAGGCCATGGTGACCTCCACTAGTCAATACTAACCAACCGTGACCTTGACTTTGACCTTGACTCCAAACTTCCCATCGATATACGGGCCTTTGCGTTGTCACGTACAACCGTGTAATCGAAACCACGCCAGTTGACTCAATGACAGGCTTTATGATAAAGCAAGCTAACAATTCGGTGGTATGGCTATACAATAATATAAGTATTGCGTATTTGCGTTAATAATAAATGTCCCAAAAATGACTTTGAAAAGTTTGAGTCTAGTTTTCTGTAAGATGACCTTGACCTAAGACTTTGACCCAACCATCTTTTCTGAAGGACGTTGTCTCTGCTTTCACCTCGAACATTAACTTTGATAATACAGTAAGAAATAAGGCCATGACAAGCATAAACGCAAAGGCCCCGATATGGATGGGAAGTTTGGACTCAAGGTCAAAATCAAGGTCACGGCAATATTCACACCTAAAGGCCAATCCACTGATCAACACCAAATAGTATTTTATAGAAAATGGTGGCTTCGCGCAAAAATTAAAGTATACGAAAATTATATCAATTTTTATGAACTGCAGTGTTAGGCAGCTAGTGCAGTGTGTCGGTTTCCGTCTCAGTGTCTTGTTATTCGAGTCTAAATAGTAAACAAAGCAAATGGCGTCAAACGGATGAAGTTCTTTCTCGTTAGAAATTAAAAGGTCGGTAAAATAAAAAGTTATTGATCGATTCGGCTGAAATTTGGTGTGTGGTCATTGCTAGTCCCTCTGGAAATTTCAAGTGCCTACGACCACGAGAACTGGTAGAGATACGAAAGTACAATAGCGCCTCATAAATTGACATAAAACTGAGATTAACTTCTATCCCGAACACGAGTCCTCCGGTTTCCTCCCACTGCTAAAGACCGCAACGCGCAAGATAATTATTGAAATAAAATCGAACCATGCGTTAGTCTCTCAGCTCTCTCTCTCTCTAGAGAAGAGTATTATAAACGAACAATGACAATATATATTATATATATAACATACCTTACAAATAGATAAACACACAATATGTCTGATTAAAATAGATTGCATAACAAGATGGCGCTGTTATCTCTTATTAGGTGTGACAAGTCACTGGCCCGATCTCTTTACGTAAATTATACTATATCTCTTTATATTATACGTTTAATCTACATGTCTATGCGCATGTTTATTCAACTGAGAGAGAGAGAGAGTAAATATCGCAGGCTAGCGATGACATCGAGAGTTGATTATGGTCTGGTTAAGTTAATTAATGTCAAATTAATAATTTATACAATATTCAGGCCTAAAGAAACTGGGTCATCCGATTCCTCCCACTGCTAAAGACCCCTACGCGCAAGCGAATTATTGAAATAAAAAATTGAACCATGTGTTCGTCCCGAAATGACCTAGTCTGTGTCGAGTGAACGTTAAACCCCATTTCTCTCTATTTCTCTATATAGCGAAATTCATTATTTATCTTTCATCGAAGTTCAATTTCGTGCCTGTCTCAAACGGTTTACAAGTTAAATAAAGCCCGAATCTGGGGTTATGCTGGGTCAGACAACCCAGAAAGAAACACTCAATAGAAAAACCTGGACCAAGCGGACTCGGGTACCTTCTTCTTCAAGTCATTCTCACCCAGCATAACCCCAGACTATTTTCTTCTCTACGACTACATACCTTATAAAATATTAGATAAACCTTTTCAAATAATCAAAACTTAATTGAAAGAAATTTAACAAATTAAATCGATAAAAGAAATGAAGATAACAGGGGTAAAGGTAATTTTATACTTATCGGAAACCAGTGTCACATGGTACGTGGAGTCATATGTTTATTCAACTTCATATGTTCTGTTATATCTTACCTAGATACTGTTGAAGGTCATTTTATACTACGTGGGGTAGGGTGACCGAATCATTTAACGCGTGTGCATTCCGTGTGCGCTGAATGATATAAGGTCTGTCATTGAGTCAAGTGTCACCGTTTCGATTCCCCACTTGAATGTGACAACGGGTGGGGTCCGGTTTCCTCCCACTGCTAAAGACCCCATATGTGCAAACGAATTATTGAAATAAAATTGAACCATGCGTTAGTCCGAAATGACCTAATTTAATTTGATTCATTCACAGAGGAGTTCACTAGTCCGCGGGTGCACTAGTCCGCCGCTATAAGAAATACTATAAATATGGGTATCAATACACCTAACCCTAACCCTAATAATAGATATATCGATGGACTAATGAACCCTTACCCTTACCCAACTTTGACCCTAATAATAGATATCGTGGGACTAGTGTACGTTCCCCTATGATCTAACGTGTAAGGGTTAAACTGTTCGGCCATCAACCCACCTAAACTTGGTATGATAATACTGTATTACTATACATATCGATAGGATAAAGTTATTGCTTTGGGACAGTTGCATTTGGCGGTTTGTCTGGGTTGGACATCATATGTAGGGTTAAAGGGACTATCCCGATTTGAACAGAATCTCAAAAATAAAAGTCCGAGTATGTATGAAATTTAAGCGCCAAATATAATGAAATGGCGTATTTACCTTGTCTCAAAATTTCAGCTCAAAATACTGAGTCTCAAAACTGCTTATCCGGACACGTAACCGTTTTAAGATTTCGGGTCAAGGTCTATACAGTGAATGGCCCATGTCCTGTACTTGTTTGAAACTATCACCTATATTAAGTTAGTTACTCGGCCCTAAGTTAGGGGATTTTAAGGACTTTTAACACAAAATTAAACAGTTTTATTCTTCAAAATAATCGGGATTGGCCCTTTAATTAGAGGACCCTAGATGTTAATACCTAATAAGGCGTCGTATGCCCGGTGCTCCCTATTTGATTATAGTCAGTCTTTGACATCAAGAATATAGTCAGCCTTCCTCACTCTGAGCTAATTCGTTATAGTAAACAGGCACACAGGTTCATATTAGTATATTGATATACTAAGGGTTATTTCGAAAATCGCGTAAAAAAATTTCTACCATGCTAGATGAGTGGACAGCGGTGCCCGATACTCTGAGTCTCGATTCTTAAGTTGCGGGCAACCTACCTTAAATTACAAGAAATATAAACCTGTATTGTGGGCAGATAATCCCGAGCAAAAGAAGTGGAATGTACCATTTCCATTGGATTTCGCTTCATCATATGTTTGTCAATACCATGAACGGTATTTAATCATTTTTCGACTGACAACCCTATTAGAAATTCATTATATCTGTACGTTGTCATTCTTCGGAAAAGCGTTGAATTAGTAACTGGTGATCCTTAAAAATCGTTTTACACATTGCAACTATAATTTTAACACAGAGCTCTTTGATATGATTGATCCGTGTCAACGATTTGAAGAATCAGTAAGTAACGCAAAACGTGAGTTATCCTTACTGGTCTGAAGTAGAGAGTGATTACACACAGTCGATTTTCAACTGAAGACAAAGTAATGTTATACGAGACTGTGAGTTGATATCTGTTCGAAAAGAACTATTCTTGACTTTCATAAGATAAGAGAAAGCTATGAATATAGAAAATATTTTTATTAATTCTCTACTTATCGTGTTAATGTTATTGTTTCTTGGTGTAGTTTAATTCCTGTTTAATTTATGCTCCTGATGTAAACAAATTTTATTTTTACAAAACTGATATTCTGTTATCACTACTATAACTTGTATCATATTAAGTCCATAATTTATACATATTTATTTAGATACATCGAACCAATTTGAACCAGACATCTGCGAACCCTTTGAACCTCACGTATACTGATCTGCGATATAAACTATACTGTTCACTACCTATATACACGTCCAATAATATTTGCACGTATTTAATTAGTATTCGCGCTACTTAGGGGATCATTATGAATAATGGTAACATGTGAAGTATCCTCGGCGAATAGCCTTATGTTAGTAATATTATCAGAGATATCATTTAAATAAATTAAAAATAACAAACGGACCCAGTACACTTCCTTGGCGAACTCCAGAATCGGTATACAAATAAGTTGATTTGAAACCTTCTAAAACTACGCATAAAACATACATTATGCAAGAGCTAAATCTGTCAATTGCAGGTCTTTCTTTAGGCCTGAAATGTTATCTAATTGATTAATTATACATAATTAACTTATCCAGACTATAATAAACTCTCGATGTTATCGCTATCCTGCGATATTTACTGGATTATAACCCGGTCTGCTGCTTCTGATTAAATCAAAAATGGATAATCGAGACTATGTTATCGTACCGACTTTAGTAATGATGATCGAGGCTAGGGCTAAAATTCAATCGCTAATATCTTGGTTCAGAGTAGATAATTTGATTGAAATTTTCGGCAAATTCCCTTTACAGTATTTGATACATCACAATATAAATCAAATTTGCTTTCCTATATCAAGATTACTTATTGTAACATCATGAATTTCTAAAAATGGATTTATTGTGGAATCGTTTGGTTGAAAACCAGACTGATACTTATTTAACAGGTTATTTTCTTTTATAAAATTATAAAGATCTTTGAATAAGATTTTACATACATTATGCAAGAGCTAAATCTGATTATTGCAAGTCTTTATTTAGGCTTCAGATGTCGTAGAAATTATAAATTAGATCTTTATTTACACAACAAGCACAAAATCAACTCTGTAGACCCACGGGTGGCTTGGTTTCGGCTTGGATTTAAACAGGATTTCATTGATTGATTAAATTAACTTTTAAATGGCGTCGTAAGCGGAGATTAACCGTTACGTTGACGTCATACTCCCGGAAATTTTAGATCTAGGCTAAATGATAGAGTGTACGAAGCGAGGCCACGTGTCAGACAATTTGATTGAAAGTTCGATATTATGTTTAGTTGTGGTTAAAATGAGAGTTTGGATGTCGGTATTATACGCTCTTTTGTCATTTGCGTTTACAGAAAAATTATGGAAATTGATAAACATCGCAGCTAACATCACCCCACTTGAATTGCAGCCCCATTGGATCACTGTTTCCTATTTGTCTGCTTCGGGAGTTACGTAGGCCTACGTACAAGAGTACACGCAGGTTAATAAGAAGTCGGCTATAATTATGCCTCATTGATTTGGTCCATTCCTTTCAAACTTTCGCTTCTTATCTATATATTAAAAGTCTTATTTTTAATTTGTAGTAAAAACAAATGTGATACGAATTGAAATGCAACCCCGTCTCAAACCGAATAGGCTAACGGTACCACAGCCATTGAAAACGTTACTTGATAATCGAGATTATGTAGGTGGAGTTAACGCCTGTCAATCAAACGATCGACCATTCTCGGTGACGTTGAAGAGATAGTTGACTCCTATTTCTAGTCAAAAATTACAATGGTGTTCAGAATAAAGTAATTTGACTGAAATTTTCAATATATTCTTCTTTCATCATCTATTTTTTAACTGTTATAGCAAGAATGGCCAACCCTCTATTAAAATCTCTCATAATGTATCTTTAATGAAACTGGTCTATAATTGTCAGGGAACTGCGGATCACCCTTTCCTTTATACGCTGCAGTCATATGTGAAGTCTTCCAAATATCAGGTAATAATTTGATATCTAATGAAAGGTTAAAACGTTTAGTGAGAGGTCTTGTGATTGACACTGTTATCCTTTTCAGTACAGCTGGACTAATATTATCGGGACCAGAAGGTTTTGAACAGTTAATAATTAGTAACTCGTCTTTCACTTTTGGGGGGAGGGATTAAGTCAGAGTTTGCAGCCAAAACTGTACATGGTAAAAACATTCTGTGAAATGGTTAACACATGTGCGTTGCATCATAAGGTCTGTCATTGAATTAAGTAGCGTGGTTTCTATTCCCTACTTGTACGTGACAAGTAGTAGAGTAGCCTGACCAATGTCGTGGGTTTTGTCTGGGTCATCCAGTGTTCTCTCACTGCTAAAGACCCCCTATTGAAAAAAAACTGAACCACATGTTAGTCCCAAATGACCTAGTGTGATTTGAGTGGACGTTAAACCCCCATTTCTCCCGCTATTTATCAATAACCATTCAGAATTCTAAATGTAATTGCAACCAAAAACCCAGCACAACTTACATAATTTTTAAACAAAATATACTACAAGTATCTATACT